GTGTCTCACCCCCCCCCACCAACCCACGTGACTCACCCCAACAACCCACGTGTCTCTCCCCACCTACCCACGTCTCTCCCCCCACCAACCCACGTGTCTCTCCCCCCACCAACCCACGTGTCTCTCCCCCCACCTACCCACGTGTCTCTCCCCACCAACCCACGTGTCTCTCCCCCCACCAACCCACGTGTCTCTCCCCACCAACCCACGTGTCTCACCACAACAACCCACGTGTCTCACCCCAACAACCCATGTGTCTCACCCCAACAACCCACGTGTCTCACCCCAACAACCCACGTGTCTCTCCCCCCACCAACCCACGTGTCTCTCCCCACCAACCCACGTGTCTCTCCCCCCCCACCCACGTGTCTCTCCCCACCAACCCACGTGTCTCACCCCAACAACCCACGTGTCTCACCCCAACAACCCACGTGTCTCACCCCAACAACCCACGTGTCTCTCCCCCCACCAACCCACGTGTCTCACCCCAACAACCCACGTGTCTCTCCCCCCACCTACCCACGTGTCTCTCCCCACCAACCCACGTGTCTCTCCCCCCACCAACCCACGTGTCTCTCCCCACCAACCCACGTGTCTCACCCCAACAACCCACGTGTCTCACCCCAACAACCCACGTGTCTCACCCCAACAACCCACGTGTCTCTCCCCCCACCAACCCACGTGTCTCACCCCAACAACCCACGTGTCTCTCCCCCCACCAACCCACGTGTCTCTCCCCCCACCAACCCACGTGTCTCTCCCCCCACCAACCCACGTGTCTCTCACCCTAACCCACGTGTCTCTCCCCCCACCAACCCACGTGTCTCTCCCCCCACCAACCCACGTGTCTCTCCCCCCACCAACCCACGTGTCTCTCCCCCCACCAACCCACGTGTCTCTCCCCCCACCAACCCACGTGTCTCACCCCAACCCAGGTGTCTCTCCCCCCCAACCCACGTGTCTCTCCCCCCACCAACCCACGTGTCTCTCCCCCCACCAACCCACGTGTCTCTCACCCTAACCCACGTGTCTCTCCCCCCACCAACCCGTGTCTCTCCCCCCACCAACCCACGTGTCTCTCCCCCCACCAACCCACGTGTCTCTCCCCCCACCAACCCACGTGTCTCACCCCAACCCACGTGTCTCTCCCCCCACCAACCCACGTGTCTCTCCCCCCACCTACCCACGTGTCTCTCCCCACCAACCCACGTGTCTCTCCCCCCCCCAACCCACGTGTCTCTCCCCACCAACCCACGTGTCTCACCACAACAACCCACGTGTCTCACCCCAACAACCCACGTGTCTCACCCCAACAACCCACGTGTCTCACCCCAACAACCCACGTGTCTCTCCCCCCACCAACCCACGTGTCTCTCACCCTAACCCACGTGTCTCTCACCCTAACCCACGTGTCTCTCCCCCCACCAACCCACGTGTCTCTCCCCCACCAACCCACGTGTCTCTCCCCCCACCAACCCACGTGTCTCTCCCCCCACCAACCCACGTGTCTCACCCCAACCCACGTGTCTCTCCCCCCACCAACCCACGTGTCTCTCACCCTAACCCACGTGTCTCTCCCCCCACCAACCCACGTGTCTCTCCACCCACCAACCCACGTCTCTCTCCCCCCACCAACCCACGTGTCTCTCCCCCCACCAACCCACGTGTCTCCCTCCACCAACCCACGTGTCTCTCCCCCCACCAACCCACGTGTCTCTCACCCTAACCCACGTGTCTCTCACCTTAACCCACGTGTCTCTCCCCCCACCAACCCACGTGTCTCTCCCCCCACCAACCCACGTGTCTCTCCCCCCACCAACCCACGTGTCTCTCCCCACCTACCCACGTGTCTCACCCTAACCCACGTGTCTCACCCCAACAACCCACGTGTCTCTCACCCTAACCCACGTGTCTCTCCCCCCACCAACCCACGTGTCTCTCCCCCCACCACCCACGTGTCTCTCCCCCCACCTACCCACGTGTCTCTCCCCACCAACCCACGTGTCTCTCCCCCCACCAACCCACGTGTCTCTCCCCCCACCTACCCATGTGTCTCTCCACCCACCAACCCACGTGTCTCTCCCCACCTACCCACGTGTCTCACCCCCCCCCACCAACCCACGTGACTCACCCCAACAACCCACGTGTCTCTCCCCACCTACCCACGTCTCTCCCCCCACCAACCCACGTGTCTCTCCCCCCACCAACCCACGTGTCTCTCCCCCCACCTACCCACGTGTCTCTCCCCACCACCCCCGTGTCTCTCCCCCCACCAACCCACGTGTCTCTCCCCCCACCAACCCACGTGTCTCTCCCCCCACCAACCCACGTGTCTCACCCCAACCCACGTGTCTCTCCCCCCACCAACCCGTGTCTCTCCCCCCACCAACCCAAGTGTCTCTCCCCCCACCAACCCACGTGTCTCTCACCCTAACCCACGTGTCTCTCCCCCCACCAACCCACGTGTCTCTCCCCCCACCAACCCACGTGTCTCTCCCCCCACCAACCCACGTGTCTCTCCCCCACCAACCCACGTGTCTCACCCCAACCCACGTGTCTCTCCCCCCACCAACCCACGTGTCTCTCCCCCACCTACCCACGTGTCTCTCCCCACCAACCCACGTGTCTCTCCCCCCACCAACCCACGTGTCTCTCCCCACCAACCCACGTGTCTCACCACAACAACCCACGTGTCTCACCCCAACAACCCACGTGTCTCACCCCAACAACCCACGTGTCTCACCCCAACAACCCACGTGTCTCTCCCCCCACCAACCCACGTGTCTCTCACCCTAACCCACGTGTCTCTCCCCCCCCAACCCACGTGTCTCTCCCCCACCAACCCACGTGTCTCTCCCCCCACCAACCCACGTGTCTCTCCCCCACCAACCCACGTGTCTCACCCCAACCCACGTGTCTCTCCCCCCACCAACCCCGTGTCTCTCACCCTAACCCACGTGTCTCTCCCCCCACCAACCCACGTGTCTCTCCACCCACCAACCCACGTCTCTCTCCCCCACCAACCCACGTGTCTCTCCCCCCACCAACCCACGTGTCTCCCTCCACCAACCCACGTGTCTCTCCCCCCACCAACCCACGTGTCTCTCACCCTAACCCACGTGTCTCTCACCTTAACCCACGTGTCTCTCCCCCCACCAACCCACGTGTCTCTCCCCCCACCAACCCACGTGTCTCTCCCCCCCCAACCCACGTGTCTCTCCCCACCTACCCACGTGTCTCACCCTAACCCACGTGTCTCACCCCAACAACCCACGTGTCTCTCCCCACCAACCCACGTGTCTCTCACCCTAACCCACGTGTCTCTCCCCCCACCTACCCACGTGTCTCACCCCCCCCACCAACCCACGTGTCTCTCCCCACCTACCCACGTCTCTCCCCCCACCAACCCACGTGTCTCTCCCCCCACCAACCCACGTGTCTCTCCCCACCTACCCACGTGTCTCACCCCCCCCCACCAACCCACGTGACTCACCCCAACAACCCACGTGTCTCTCCCCACCTACCCACGTCTCTCCCCCCACCAACCCACGTGTCTCTCCCCCCACCAACCCACGTGTCTCTCCCCCCACCTACCCACGTGTCTCTCCCCACCAACCCACGTGTCTCTCCCCCCACCAACCCACGTGTCTCTCCCCACCAACCCACGTGTCTCACCCCAACAACCCACGTGTCTCACCCCAACAACCCACGTGTCTCTCCCCCCACCACCCACGTGTCTCTCCCCCCACCAACCCACGTGTCTCTCCCCCACCAACCCACGTGTCTCTCCCTCCACCAACCCACGTGTCTCTCCCCCCACCAACCCACGTGTCTCACCCTAACCCACGTGTCTCTCCCCCCACCTACCCACGTGTCTCTCCCCACCAACCCACGTGTCTCTCCCCCCACCAACCCACGTGTCTCTCCCCACCAACCCACGTGTCTCACCCCAACAACCCACGTGTCTCACCCCAACAACCCACGTGTCTCTCCCCCCACCAACCCACGTGTCTCTCCCCCCACCAACCCACGTGTCTCTCCCCCCACCAACCCACGTGTCTCTCACCCTAACCCACGTGTCTCTCCCCCCACCAACCCACGTGTCTCTCCCCCCACCAACCCACGTGTCTCTCCCCCCACCAACCCACGTGTCTCTCCCCCCACCAACCCACGTGTCTCTCCACCCACCAAACCCACTTGTCTCTCCACCCACCAACCCACTTGTCTCTCCACCCACCAACCCAACGTGTCTCTCCCCCACCAACCCACGTGTCTCTCCCAACCCACGTGTCTCTCCACCCACCAACTCACTTGTCTCTCCACCCACCAACCCACTTGTCTCTCCACCCACCAACCCCCGTGTCTCTCCCCCCACCAACCCACGTGTCTCTCCCCAACCCACGTGTCTCTCCACCCACCAACCCACGTGTCTCTCCACCCACCACCCACGTGTCTCACCACAAAACCAAGTGTCTCACCCACAGTGTCTCTCACTCCCGACCACCCACGTGTCTCTTCCTCTCCCCCAACAACCCACGTGTCTCACCCCAACAACCCACGTGTCTCACCCCAACAACCCACGTGTCTCTCCCCAACCCAGTGTCTCACCCCAACAACCCACGTGTCTCACCCCACCTACCCACGTGTCTCTCCCCAACCCACGTGTCTCTCACCCTAACCCACGTGTCTCTCCCCCCACCAACCCACGTGTCTCTCCCCCCACCAACCCACGTGTCTCCCTCCACCAACCCACGTGTCTCTCCCCCCACCAACCCACGTCTCTCACCCCACCAACCCACGTGTCTCACCCCAACAACCCACGTGTCTCACCCACCAACCCACGTGTCTCACCCCAACAACCCATGTGTCTCTCCCCCCACCAACCCACGTGTCTCTCTCCCAACCCACGTGTCTCTCCCTCCACCAAACCCACGTCTCTCTCCCCCCACCAACCCACGTGTCTCTCCCCCCCCCCCACCACCAACCCCACCCACCTCATCTCCTGGCTCTGCGCCTCGTCGTGGCTGACATCCTCCTCCACGCTGTAGTCCAGGATGGAGCCGACCCCGTGCCGGGCGTGGGCACTCACCGTGGGCCGGATGGCGAGCCGGTCCTCGCCACCCACGAACTGGCCGTAACACCGTGGCCTTCATGAGGCCAGCGAAGAGGCGGGCCCCCAGCAAGCGCTCGGCCCAGCGCAGGATCTGGGGGCCACGGGCGGAGGACAGCGGAGGACAGCGGAGGACAGCGGAGGACAGCGGAGGACAGCGGAGGACAGCGGAGGACAGCGGAGGACAGCGAGGACAGCGGAGGACAGCGGAGGACAGCGGAGGACAGCGGAGGTCAGCGGAGGACAGCGGAGGACAGCGGAGGGCAGCGGAGGACAGCGGAGGACATCGAGGACAGCGGAGGACAGCGGAGGACAGCGGAGGTCACCGGAGGTCACCGGAGGACAGCGGAGGACAGCGGAGGTCACCGGGAGGACAGCGGAGGACAGCGGAGGACAGCGGAGGTCAGCGGAGGACAGCGGAGGACAGCGGAGGACAGCGGAGGACAGCGGAGGACAGCGGAGGACAGCGGAGGACAGCGGAGGACAGCGGAGGACAGCGGAGGTCAGCGGAGGACAGCGGAGGGCAGCGGAGGGCAGCGGAGGACAGCGGAGGACAGCGGAGGACAGCGGAGGACAGCGGAGGACAGCGGAGGACAGCGGAGGTCAGCGGAGGACAGCGGAGGACAGCGGAGGGCAGCGGAGGACAGCGGAGGACATCGGAGGACAGCGGAGGACAGCGGAGGACAGCGGAGGTTCACCGGAGGTCACCGAGGACAGCGGAGGACAGCGGAGGTCAGCGGAGGACAGCGGAGGACAGCGGAGGTCAGGCGGAGGACAGCGGAGGACAGGCGGAGGACAGCGGAGGACAGCGGAGGACAGCGGAGGACAGCGGAGGACAGCGGAGGTCAGCGGAGGACAAGCGGAGGGCAGCGGAGGGCAGCGGAGGACATCGGAGGACAGCGGAGGACAGCGGAGGACAGCGGAGGACAGCGAGGACAGCGGAGGTCACCGGAGGTCACCGGAGGACAGCGGAGGACAGCGGAGGTCACCGAGGACAGCGGAGGACAGCGGAGAGACAGCGGAGGTCATCGGAGGACAGCGGAGGTCATCGGAGGACAGCGGAGGACAGCGGAGGACAGCGGAGGACAGCGGAGGACAGCGGAGGACAGCGGAGGACAGCGGAGGACAGCGGAGGACAGCGGAGGACAGCGGAGGTCACCGGAGGACAGCGGAGGACAGCGGAGGACAGCGGAGGACAGCGGAGGACAGCGGAGGACAGCGGAGGACAGCGGAGACAGCGGAGGTCACCGGAGGTCACCGGAGGACAGCGGAGGCAACCGCCCACGGTGTCACCAACACGCACACCGGAGCAACCGCGGCCGACGCCGTCAGCAGCGGTCAGCAGCGGTCAGTCAGTCACTTGGTCAGTCACTCAGTCAGTCACTTAGTCAGTCACTCAGTCACTCAGTCAGTCACTTAGGTCAGTCACTCAGTCACTCAGTCAGTCACTTAGTCAGTCAGTTAGTCAGTCAGTCAGTCAGTGACTCACTCAGTCAGAAAGTCAGTCAGTCAGAAAGTCACTTAGTCAGTCACTTAGTCAGTCACTTAGTCAGTCACTTAGTCAGTCACTTAGTCAGTCACTTAGTCAGTCACTTAGTCAGTCAGTTACTCAGTCAGTTACTCAGTCAGTCACTCAAGTCAGTCACTCGCCTTCCCACCCACCCACTCACCCACCCCACCCCCACCCACCCACCTCCTTGTTGTGGTCCACCAGCAGGGTCGACTGAGCATCCACCCACCCCACCCACTCAACCCACCCACTCACCCACCCCACTTCACCTCACCCCACCTGCACCCTCACCTCACCCTCACCCAACCTCACCCTCACCCAACCTCACCCTCACCCAACCTCACCCTCACCCAACCTCACCCAACCTCACCCTCACCCAACCTCACCCTCACCCCACCCTCACCCACCCTCATCCCACCCCCCCTCACCCTCACCCCCACCTCACCCTCCTCACCCCCACCTCACCCTCACCCTCACCCCCCCACCCACCCACCTCCTTGTTGTGGTCCACCAGCAGGTCGACACAGCAGAGGCTGTAGACGACCAGCGCCCTCAGGCAGCTGCCCGCTGCTCTTGCTGCGGTAGGCAACAACGGTGTCCACAAAGTCCGGCAGCGGCACAGCCCGGCAGTGGTGGTGGTGGTGGGGGGAAGGTCCCCGGCTGTGGTGGTGGGGGGAAGGTCCCCGGTGGTGTGGTGGGGGGGGCCCGGGAGGTGGGGGCCGAGCGGCGGGGGGGGCGGGAGGCCGTGAGCCCCACGCGGCGGAGGGCACGGCCCAGTGAGCCGCGGAGGAGAGACATGGGGAGGACCTGAGGTGGGGGGAAGGGTGGGGGGAGAAGGGTGGGGGGGGAGGCCTGAGGTGGGGGGAAGGGTGGGGGGAGGCCTGAGGTGGGGAGAAGGGTGGGGGGAGGGGTGAGAGGGTGGGGGGGGGGGGTGAGCGGGTGGGTGAGCGGTTGAGTGGTTGGGTGAGTGGGTGGTTGAGTGGGTGGGTGAGTGGGTGAGTGAGTGAGTGGGTGAACAAGTGGTTGGGTGAGTGAGTGGTTGAGTGGGTGGGTGAGTGGTTGGGTGAGTGGTTGAGTGGTTGGGTGAGTGTGTGAGTGAGTGGGTGAGTGAGTGGGTGAGTGAGTGGGTGAGTGGGTGGGTGAGTGGGTGAACTAGTCGTTGGGTGAGTGGGTGGGTGAGTTGGTGAGTGGGTGAACAAGTGGGTGGGTGAGTGGCTGAGTGGCTGAGTGGGTGGCTGAGTGGTTGGATGAGTGGCCGAGTGAGTGGGTGGGTGAGTGGGTGGGTGAGTGGCCGAGTGGTTGGGTGAGTGGCCGAGTGAGTGGGTGGGTGAGTGGGTGGGGTGAGTGGCCGAGTGGTTGAGTGAGTGAGTGGGTGGGTGATGGGTCTGTGACAGTGACGTGCGGACGAGGTCAAATGGCTGGGGGGAGGCACTGACTCGTGTCAGAGCCAGATTCACACACTGAGGGGGGGCGTGGCCTCACAGAGGGGGCGTGTCCTCGCTGGGGGGGGGGGGCGTGTCTTCACCGAGGTCGTGCTCTCACTGAGGGGGGCGTGTCCTCGCTGTGGGGCGTGTCCTCATTGAGGGGGCGTGTCATCACTGAGGGGGGCGTGTCCATGCCTGAGGGGGGCGTGTCCTCACTGAGGGGGGGGCGTGTTAGACACGTCCCCCCCTCGGTGAGGCAAGACGTGACGGCTGCCTCCCCTGGGTGCTCTTTCACTGCAGTTTCACGACGAGACGAGCGAGCCTCAATATCTTTATACACAATACGTGCAAAATAAGTTACCCGGAGTACGGAAGGCGAGGACATGAAGTCAAGGGGTCTACGAACATCACATTGGCGACACGCAGAGAGAGATAGCAACAGGCACATCCAGTTACTTGAGGGGAGGCTGAGCTCATCGCTGCCTCACACCTCTCGTCTCTCCCTGCGGGCTATTTGCAGAGGAGCTCCGCAAAAATTTTGGCGATTTTGACTATGAAAAAAAATATATTTTTTTTGAAAAAACTTTTTTTTTAAACACGCTTTTACATGAAATGCACGAGCAAGTTACAACGTGCAATGTACTTGTAGTAATGGAAGAAGTCCACGACCTCCTGGGAGTGGGGGGCCCGAGCTTCCCACAACGCGAGTCGAGCGTGGGACAATGAGACCCCAGCCGAAACGTCACGTGTAAAAATTAGGTTTTGATTTAAAGCTTTCGTGACTGCAGGGATTCATATTCGTGGTTCTTTCGTAAAGTCACCACCACGTAGATAGGGAAATAATAAAATAATAAAAATATAAAACAAAAATTATAAAAAAATAAAAAATAAAATTATTATTCTCGGTTCTTTGGGTAAGTCACCACCACGTAGAAGGGAAATAATAAAATAATAAAAATATAAACCAATAAAATTATTATTCTTGGTTCTTTCGGTAAAGTCACCACCACGTAAATAGGAAATAATAAAATAATAAAGATATAAACCAATAAAATTATAAAAATAAACAATAAATTATCATTCTTGGTTCTTTGGTAAAGTCACCACCACGTAGATAGGAAACATAAATAATAAAATATAAAACAATAAATTATTATTCTTGGTTCTTTGGGTAAAGTCACCACCACGTAGAAGGGAAACAATAAAATAATAAAAATATAAAACAATAAAATTATTGTAAAACATTAAAATTATTATTCTTGGTTCTTTCGGTAAAGTCACCACCACGTAGATAGGGAAACAATAAAATAATAAAAATATAAAACAATAAAATTAATAGTCTTGGATCTTTCGGTAAGGTCACCGCCATGTAGAAGGGAAACAATAAAATAATAAAAATATAAAACAATAAAATTATTATTCTTGGTTCTTTCGGTAAAGTCACCACCACGTAGAAGGGAAACAATAAAATAATAAAAATATAAAACAATAAAATTATAAAAAATTAAACAATAAAATTATTATTCTTGGTTCTTTGGGTAAAGTCACCACCACGTAGAAGGGAAATAATAAAATAATAACATATAAAACAATAAAATTATTATTCTTCGTTCTTTCGGTAAAGTCACCACCACGTAGAAGGGAAACAATAAAATAATAAAAAATAAAACAATAAAATTATAAAAAAATTTAACAATAAAATTATTATTCTCGGTTCTTTGGGTAAAGTCACCACCACGTAGAAGGGAAATAATAAAATAATAAAAATATAAACCAATAAAATTATTATTCTTGGTTCTTTCGGTAAAGTCACCACCACGTAGATAGGGAAATAATAATAATAAAGATATAAACCAATAAAATTATAAAAATAAACAATAAAATTATTATTCTTGGTTCTTTGGGTAAAGTCACCACCACGTAGATAGGGAAACAATAAAATAATAAAAATATAAAACAATAAAATTATTATTCTTGGTTCTTTGGGTAAAGTCACCACCACGTAGAAGGGAAACAATAAAATAATAAAAATATAAAACAATAAAATTATTGTAAAACATTAAAATTATTATTCTTGGTTCTTTCGGTAAAGTCACCACCACGTAGATAGGGAAACAATAAAATAATAAAAATATAAAACAATAAAATTATTATTCTTGGTTCTTTCGGTAAAGTCACCACCACGTTAGAAGGGAAACAATAAAATAATTAAAATATAAAATAATAAAATTATTATTCTTGGTTCTATCGTCAAGTCACCATGTAGAAGGGTAACAATAAAATAATACAAATATATTTTTATATTATTATTAAAATAATAAAAATGTATTTTATTAAAATAATAAAAATGTATTTTATTAAAATAATAAAAATGTATTTTATTAAAATAATAAAAATGTATTTTATTAAAATAATAAAAATGTATTTTATTAAAATAATAAAAATGTATTTTATTAAAATATTAAAATGTATTTTATTAAAATAATTAAATGTATTTCATTAAAATAATAAAAATATATTTCATTAAAATAATAAAATATATTTCATTAAAATAATAAAAATGTATTTTATTAAAATAATAAAAATGTATTTTATTAAAATAATTAAAATGTACTTTATTAAAATAATTAAAATGTATTTTATTAAAATAATTAAAATGTATTTTATTAAATAATAAAAATGTATTTTAATAAAATAATAAAAATGTATTTTATTAAAATAATAAAAAAAATATTAAACTTATTAAAAAATATTTTATTGAAATAATAAAAATATATTTTATTTAAATAATAAATAAAAAATCACCTTTACAATAATTAAAAACATTTTATTAAAATAATAAAAAACTATTAAAAATATATTTTTTATTATTTCATTAAAAATCATAAAAAATATATTTTTTTTAATAATTTCATTGAACCAAGAATTACGTGTGATAATAGTTGCGTTTGTGTTGTTACAGCCCGTGGGGGATCTGTGCGGCTGTGATAATTCCCACCACGTGAAGAAGCCGTCCGGTCGAACTGCTATCTCGTCTGTGGTGGCCAGCGAGCTTCTGAATAAGCAGCTTCACAGCAGCAGCAACAGCAGCAGCAGCAGTCCGTCGGGCTTGGCTTTGACGTCCACTGGGTAACAGAACAACAACAACAAAAAAATAGCAGCTCGAACAAAATAACCGAAGCTTCCGCGTAGCGTTTGCGCGAGCCCATTAAAGGATAACTCGGCACGTGCGAGAGTGAGCGAGTGAGTGAGGAGCCAGCCCTTCTGTTGCCTTACACCCGCTCACAATAAGCACAATGCACAGCAGGTAGGGAAACTTGTTCGCTATGTTCCAATGGGTAGGGGGGGGGGAGCTTCTCTCTATGCACGCAAGCGACAGCAGCGAGAGCCGTGCAGACAAAAGATCACCACCACCACCACCACACCCCCACCCGGTACAGCCTTGGCAGACGCTTGGGACAGGTTTCTGTCGGTGGCGAGTCCGCTGGATTGTCAATGAAGGCTACCGGCACTGTGGCTACACACACACACAGAGAGAGAGAGGGTGGGTTGGTGGGTGGCCAGCACCACCACCACCACCACCACCACGCCCGGCCGCCTTTGTCTCCCCCGAGTGGCGATGTTTACACCGCTACACCACCAACAACAACAACAACAGACAGACAGAGCGAGTTAAATAAAAGCGTGTAGTAAAAAAAAATTATTGGAATCGTACAGAAATGACATTTATAACACAGATCGGTGGGAAAAAATATTAATATTGATTTTATTTGATTATTATTTATGTTTTACTTTTCGCAACAGCTGTTTTCATTGTAGGATGACAGGTGACCCTCTGCCCCCCCTTGACCCCACGTCCCTGGTTGGTGAGTGGGTGAGTGGGTGGGTGAGTGGGTGGGTGGGTTGGTGAGTGAAGAATTGGATGGGTGAGTGGATGGGTTGGTGGGTTGGTGAGTGGGAGAGTGGATGGGTGAGTGGATGAGTGAGCGGATGGGTGAACAAGTGGTTGGGTGAGTGGGTGAGTGGATGGGTGGGTGAGTGGGTGGGTGGATGGGTGGGTGAGTGGGTGGGTGGGTGTGTGGGTGGGTTGGTGAGTGAACAATTGGTTGGGTGAGTGGATGGGTGAGTGGATGGGTGAGTGGATGGGTTGGTGGATGGGTTGGTGAGTGGGCGAGTGGATGGGTGAGTGGATGAGTGAGTGGATGGGTGAACAATTGGTTGGGTGAGTGGGCGAGTGGATGGGTGGGTGAGTGGATGGGTGGGTGAGTGGGTGAGTGGGCGAGTGGATGAGTGGGCGAGTGGATGAGTGAGTGGATGGGTGAACAAGTGGTTGGGTGAGTGGGTGAGTGGATGGGTGGGTGAGTGGGCGAGTGGATGAGTGGGTGAGTGGGTGAGTGGGCGAGCGGATGGGTGGGTGAGTGGGTGAGTGGGCGAGTGGATGAGTGAGTGTATGGGTGAACAAGTGGTTGGGTGAGTGGATGGGTGGGTGAGTGAGTGAATGGGTAGGTGAGTGGGTGAATGGGTGGGTAAGTTGGACGAGTGGTTGGTGAGTGGGTGAATGGATGGGTGAGTGAGTGAGTGGATGGGTAGGTGAGTGGGTGAATGGGTGGGTAAGTTGGACGAGTGGTTGGTGAGTGGGTGAGTGGATGGGTGGGTGAGTGAGTGGATGGGTGGGTAAGTTGGACGAGTGGTTGGTGAGTGGGTGAGTGGATGGGTGGGTGAGTGGGTGAGTGGATGAGTGAGTGGATGGGTGAACAAGTGGTTGGGTGAGTGGGTGAGTGGATGGGTGGGTGAGTGGATGGGTAGGTGAGTGGGTGAATGGGTAGGTGAGTGGGTGAATGGGTGGGTGGGTGAGTGAGTGAGTGGATGGGTAGGTGGGTAGTGAGTGGGTGGGTGGCCGAGTGGTTGGGTAAGGTGGACGAGTGAGTGAGTGAAGTGGGTGAGTAGGTGGGTGGGACAGATAGAGAGGGGGCGAGTGGGTGGGCAGGAAAATGAGTGGGTGGGCGAGTGAATGAGGGTTGGGCGAGTGGGTGGGCGAGGTGTATGGGAGAGAGACAGAGAGAGGGGGTGGGTGGATGGGAGAGAGAGAGGGTGGGTGGGCGAGTGGATGGGTGGGTGGGCGAGTGGATGGGTTGGTGGGTGGGCGAGTGGATGGGCGAGTGGATGGGCGGGGGGCGAGTGGATGGGTGGGTGGGCGAGTGGATGGGTGGGTGGGCGAGTGGATGGGTGGGTGGGTGGCGAGTGGATGGGTGGGTGGGTGGGCGAGTGGATGGGTGGGTGGGTGGGCGAGTGGATGGGTGGGTGGGTGGGCGAGTGGATGGGTGGGTGGGTGGGCGAGTGGATGGGTGGGTGGGTGGGCGAGTGGATGGGTGGGTGGGCAAGTGGATGGGTGGGTGGGTGGGCGAGTGGATGGGTGGGTGGGCGAGTGGATGGGTGGGTGGGTGGGCGAGTGGATGGGTGGGTGGGTGGGCGAGTGGATGGGTGGGTGGGTGGGCGAGTGGATGGGTGGGCGAGTGGATGGTGGGTGGGTGGGCGAGTGGATGGGTGGGTGGGTGGGCGAGTGGATGGGTGGGTGGGCGAGTGGATGGGTGGGTGGGTGAATGAGTGGGTGGGTGAGTAGTGAAGATTCTCTGAACCGGTCCTGGCCTCCCCTAGGTCGACTCAGTCTCAACTGAGTACCTGGTGTAGCGGTGTGTAGTAAACATCGCCACTGGGAGACAAAGGCGGCTGGGCGTGGTGCTGGCCACCCACCCCCTCGTGTGCCACAGTGCTGCTATTCGCTACTGACATCCACACACTCACCACACTTGCTCACCACACAAACTCACCACCCACACTCACTCACTCACCACTCAGACTCACCCTACTCAACCCACTCACTCACCACACACACCACCCATCACCACACACCACCCACTCACTCACCACCCACTCACCTCACTCACTCACCATCCACACTCACCACTCACCACACCCATTCACCATTAACACTCACCACTCACTCACTCACCACACTCACTCAACCCACCACACTCACCCCACTCACCCACCACACTCACCTCACTCACCCACCACACTCACCTCACTCACCCACCACACTCACTCACCACTCACCACCCACACTCACCACCCACTGAGCACACCCACTCACCACACACAATCATAACACTCACTCACTTCACTCACTCACCACTCTCACTCACCACTCTCACTCACCACTCTCACTCACCACTCTCACTCACCACTCTCACTCACCACTCTCACTCACCACTCTCACTCACCTCACTCACCACACACTCACCACACACTCACCACACACAGTCACCACCCACTCAACACACTCACTCACTCACAACCCACCACACTCACCTCACTCACCACCCACTCACCACACTCATACACCACACCCATTCACCACCCACCCTCACCACCAACTCATACACCACACACTCACCTCACTCACCACTCACCACCCACACCATCCACTGACCACACCCACTCACCACACTCACCACCCACAATCATAACACTCACTCACCACCCACCACCCACTCACCTCACTCACTCACCTCACTCACTCACTCACCTCACTCACTCACTCACCTCACTCACCACTCTCACTCACCACTCTCACTCACCACTCTCACTCACCACTCTCACTCACCACTCTCACCTCACTCACCACCCACTCACTCACCACACTCACCTCACTCACCTCACACACTCACCACCCACTCACTCACCACACACCCACACACCACCCACCACCCACCACCTCACCTCACTCACACCACACTCACCACCCCACTCACCTCACTCACCACCCACACACCACACACTCACTCACCACCCACTCACTACCCACTCACTCACCACCCACTCACCAGACTCACTCTACACACTCACCACCCACACTCACTCCCACCCACATCATAACCTCATTCAACACACACTCACCACACTCACACCATCCCCACTCACCTCACCACCACACTCACCACCCACACACACACACCACCCACTCACCTCACTCACCACCCACACTCACCACCCACACTCACCACCCACACTCACCACCCACACTCACCACCCACACTCACCACCCACACTCACCACACACACCACCCACAATCATAACACTCACCACTCTCACTCACCACTCTCACTCACCACTCTCACTCACCACTCTCACTCACCACTCTCACTCACCACTCTCACTCACCACTCTCACTCACCACTCTCACTCACCACACACACTCACCACTCTCACTCACCACTCTCACTCACCACTCTCACCTCACTCACCACCCACTCACCACCCTCACTGACCACTCTCACCTCACTCACCACCCACTCACCACTCTCACTCACCACTCTCACCTCACTCACCACCCACTCACTCACTCACCACACTCACCTCACTCACCTCACACACTCACCACCCACTCACTCACCACACTCACTCACCACACCCACACACCACCCACCACCCACTCACTCACCTCACTCACACCACACTCACCACCCACACTCACCTCACTCACCACCCACACACCACACACACTCACTCACCACCCACTCACCAGACTCACTCTACACACTCACCACCCACACTCACTCACCACCCACAATCATAACACTCACTCACCACTCGCTCACCTCACTCACTCACCACACACTCACCACACTCACACCATCCCCACCACACTCACCACCCACACACCCACACACCACCCACTCACTCACCTCACCTCACTCACCTCACTCACCACCCACACTCGCCACACACTCACCACACACACTCACCACACACTCACCACACACACTCACCACACCCGCTCACCACACTCACCACCCACAATCATAACACTCACTCACCACCCACCACCCACTCACTCACTCACCTCACTCACTCACTAACTCACCTCACTCACTAACTCACCTCACTCACTAACTCACCTCACTCACTAACTCACCTCACTCACTAACTCACCACTCTCACTCACCACTCTCACTCACCACTCTCACTCACCACTCTCACTCACCACTCTCACTCACCACTCTCACTCACCACTCTCACTCACCACTCTCACTCACCACTCTCACTCACCACACTCACACACCACACTCACACACCACCCACTCACTCACCACTCTCACTCACCACTCTCACTCACCACTCTCACTCACCACTCTCACTCACCACTCTCACTCACCACTCTCACTCACCACTCTCACTCACCACTCTCACCACCCACACACCACACACCACCCACTCACTCACCTCACCACCCACTCACTCACCACACACTCACCACTCACTCACCTCACCACACTCACCACCCACACACCACCCACCACCCACTCACCTCACTCACTCACCACACTCACCACCTACACTCACCACCCACACTCACACCACCCACTCACTCACCTCACTCACCACCCACTCACCCACACTCACCACACACTCACCACCCACACACTCACTCACCACACACTCACCACCCACACACTCACTCACCACACACTCACTCACCACCCACACACTCACTCACCACACCACTCACCACACACTCACCACTCACACACTCACTCACCACACACACTCACCACCCACACACTCACTCACCACACACACTCACTCACCACACACACTCACCACCCACACTCACCACCCACACTCACCACCCACACTCACCACCCACACTCACCACCCACACTCACCACACACACTCACCACACACACTCACCACCACACTCACCCACACACACTCACCACACCCGCTCACCACACTCACCACCCACAATCATAACACTCACTCACCACCCACTCACTCACTCACCTCACTCACTCACTAACTCACCTCACTCACTAACTCACCTCACTCACTAACTCACCTCACTAACTCACCTCACTCACTAACTCACCACTCTCACTCACCACTCTCACTCACCACTCTCACTCACCACTCTCACTCACCACTCTCACTCACCACTCTCACTCACCACTCTCACTCACCACTCTCACTCACCACTCTCACTCACCACTCTCACTCACCACTCTCACTCACCACTCTCACTCACCACACTCACCACCACACTCACACACCACCCCTCACTCACCACTCTCACTCACCACTCTCACTCACCACTCTCACTCACCACTCTCACTCACCACTCTCACCACCCCACACACCACACTCACCACACACCACCCACTCACTCACCTCACCACCCACTCACTCACCACACACACCACACACTCACCACTCACTCACCTCACCACACTCACCACCCACACACCACCCACCACCCACTCACCTCACTCACTCACCACACTCACCACCTACACTCACCACCCACACTCACACCACCCACTCACTCACCTCACTCACCACCCACTCACCACACACTCACCACACACTCACCACACACTCACCACCCACACACTCACTCACCACACACACTCACCACCCACACACTCACTCACCACACACTCACTCACCACACACACTCACCACACACTCACCACTCACACACACTCACCACACACTCACCACTCACACACTCATTCACCACACACACTCACCACCCACACACTCACCACCCACACACTCACTCACCACACACACTCACTCACCACACACACTCACTCACCACACACACTCACCACCCACACTCACCACCCACACTCACCACCCACACACTCACTCACCACACACACTCACTCACCACCAACTCGCTCACCACACTCACCACCCCACCCACTCACACACTCACCACCCACTCACCACACTCACCACACTCACCACAACAGTGGCGGTGACGTCACCACGGCGCCCGTGCCAGGCTAGGTGCATGCACCTCGAGGCGACGCGAAACGCGACGCGACACGACGGGCTGAGCTCGTATTGATTACGTACCTGGAGGGTGGAACAGTTCACAATGTCCTCGACGGCAGTCAACAAATTAAAGTTTAACGTTTTACGTAATAATTACTCGTACACGCAGTTGAAATACGATCGATTAGGAAATCGTGAGGCAACTTTCGCTTGGTCCGGCTCTGGCAACGACGGGGCCGACGTCAACGCTCCATCGCATATCGAACGCTTTAGTCAAATTATCGTTCATTAAAGTTTTATTTTTATTTATCGATTGATCACCACGAGAGGACCTCCTGCGCGATTTCCCGCCTTTAATGAGCGAGCGAGCACGCGCACGGGGCGAGTTGGGTGACGTCACCGAAAGCTCCCCCCTTTGCCCGCCCCCTAGAGCCACTCTTGCCCCTCCCCCTTCAGAAGCCTCGCACCCGACTCTCGAGCCCCCCGCCCCATCCAGTCAGAGGGGTCAACGACCCGCCCCTCTCCTCGCCCCGCCCCCTTCCTCGCCCCGCCCCCTTCCTCGCCCCGCCCCCTTCCTCGCCCCGCCCTCCCCCACTTCGCCCCCGCCCCCCCCTCCTAACCCCCTCCTCACCCCCCGCCGTCCTCGCCCCCCCCACCACATTGCCCCCCCCCTCATCCTCGCCCCCCCCCTCCACCCAACTCCCCCCGCCCCCTTCACCACGCCCCCTCCCAATCCAATCAAACCGGTCCACCCCGCCCCACCCCGTCCAATCGCATTATAAGAAGTGGCTCCTCCCATTACCGCCCAAATATCCCCAAGCCCTCATCGCCTTATAAGGAAAAGGCACCTCCCATTTCCTCTCATTTGTGCACGCCCCCCCCGTCTTCAACCTTATAAGGAAGTGACCCCACCTCTCACACCCCTACCCCCCACCCTGCCAAAACTTACGTAAACAAAGCCCCCCCCGTGGGTTTACGCGGTGACGTCATCCGAGAGGTGTGAGCGACATCCGCGTCGCTCATTGGTCGAAAGTCTCCGCCGACGTCATGACGCGCGTGGTGTTGTCGGCGGCGGTTGGGGTGTGAGGTGACGTCGCGCAAGCGATTGGTCCCGGTTGCGTCGTGACGTCATGACGCAGCCACCACCCATCCCCACCCCTCACTCACAACCCACGTGTCCTTCAGTTCGGGGAGCGGTGGCGCTGTGGTTGGGGAGATAGACTGTACTTGCAGTCCATACTCACCAATAGACACACTCACCCACTCACTCACCACCCACTCACCACCCACTCACCACCCACATTGCCATTCACTCACTCACTCACCCATCCAGCCACTCACCCACTCACTCACCCATCAAGCCATTCACTCACCCACACACTCACCACCCGCTCACCACGCTCACCACACTCACCACCCACACTAACCTTACTCACCACCCACTCACTCACCCATCCAGCCACTCCCCCACTCACTCACCACCCACTCACCACCCACTCACTCACCATCCACTCACTCACCACCCACTCACTCACCACCCACTCACTCACCACCCACACTCACCTTACTCACCACCCACTCACTCACCACCCACTCACTCACCACCCACACTCACCTTACTCACCACCCACTCACTCACCACCCACTCACTCACCACCCACTCACTCACCACCCACTCACTCACCACCCACTCACTCACCACCCACTCACTCACCTTACTCACCACCCACTCACCATCCACTCACTCACCCATCCAGCCACTCCCCCACTCACTCACCACCACTCACTCACCACACTGACCATCCACTCACCATACTTACCACACTCACCACTCACTCACCACCTATACCACTCACCACCCACTCACCACACTCACTCACCACTCACTCACCACCCACTCACCACCCATACCACTCACTCACCACCCACACCACTCACCACCCATACCACTCACTCACCACCCACACCACTCACTCACCACCCACTCACCACACTCACTCACCACCCATACCACTCACCACATACTCACCACCCATACCACTCACTCACCACCCACTCAACACTCACTACTCACTCACCACCCACTCACTCACACTCACCACTCACTCACCACACACTCACCACCCACTCACTCACCACACTCACTCACCACACACTCACCACACTCACCACCCACTCACTCAACACTCACCACCCACACTCACCACCCACACTCACCACTCACTCACCACCCACACTCACCACACACTCACCACACACTCACCACCCACACTCACCACAACAATGGCGGTGACGTCACAACGGTGCCCGTGCCAGGCTAGGTGCATGCACCTCGAGGCGAAACGCAACACGAGGGGACAGGCTGAGCTCGTATTGATTACGTACCTGGAGGGTCGAACAGTTCACAATGTCCTCGACGCCAGTAAACAAATTAAAGTTTTACGTAATGATTAAAATTACACGCCGTTGAAATACGATAATTGTGAAATCCTGAGGCAACTTTCGCTTGCCGTGGTTCTGCCAACGAGGGGCAGACGTCAACGCTCCATCGCATCGAACGCTTTAGTTAAGTATCGTTAATTAATGTTTTATTATTTTTATTTATCGATTGACACGATAACCCCGCGTTTTCCCGCCTTTAATGAGGCTAGCAGCACGCGCTCGTCGTTAGTTGGGTGACGTCACCGAAACCCCCCTTGTCCCCCCCCTCCAGCCCCCCTTGCCCCTCCCCCTCTAGCCCCCTCCCCATCCAATCAGGACGGACCACGCCTCCCCACCTTCCTCGCCCCGCCCCCCAACTCACCCCGCCCCTCCAACTCGCCCACCCCCCGCGTCGCTCATTGGTCGAAAGTCGCCGCCGACGTCATGACGCGTGTGTGTTGTTGTCGGCGGCGGTGGGTGTGAGGTGACGTCGCCGCAAGCGATTGGTCCCGGTTGCATCGTGACGTCATGACGCAGCCACCACCACCACCCCCTACTCACCCCCCCCACGTGTCGTGCAGTTCGGGGAGCGGTGGCGCTGTGGTTGGGGCGCTCACGGGCGCGACTTACACACTGCCGCTGAGATATACTGTCCTGTACAGTCCATACTCACCAACACTCACCCACTCACTCACCCACTCACTCACTCACCCACTCACTCACCCACCCACTCACTCACCCACCCACTCGCTTAATCACACACACACTCACCCATACAGCCACTCACCCATTCACTCACCTACCCACTCACACACTCACTCAATCACCCACCCACTCACTCACCCACTCACTCAATCACACACTCACCCACTCACTCACCTATTAAGCCATTCACCTACCGACTCACCCACCAACGCACTCACCCACTCACTCACCCACTCACTCACCCCACCCACTCGCTTAATCACACACACACACTCACCCCATACAGCCACTCACCCATTCACTCACCTACCCACTCACACACTCACTCAATCACCCACCCACTCACTCAATCACCCACCCACTCAATCACACACCACATCACATCACCCACTCACTCAATCACCCACCACTCAATCACCACCCACTCAATCACCCACCCACTCATTCACCCACCCACTCAATCACACACCCACTCAATCACCCACCCACTCAATCACACACCCACCCACTCACCCATCCAGCCACTCATTTACCCACTCAAACACCCATCCACTCACTCACCCACCCACTCAATCACACACTCACTCAATCATCCACCCACTCACCCACCCACTCAATCACACACCCACTCACTCACCCACTCACTCAATCACCCACCCACTCAATCACACACCCACTCAATCACCCACCCACTCATTCACCCACCCACTCAATCACACAACCACTCTCCAACTCACTCACTCATCCAGCCACTCACCCACTCACTCACCCACCCACTCAATCACACACTCACCCACTCACCCAGTCACCTATTTAGCCATTCACCTACCGACTCACCCACCAATCCACTCACTCACTCACTCACCCGCCCACTCGCTTAATCACACACCCACTCACCCATACAGCCACTCACCCACTCACTCACCTACCCACTCACACACTCAATCACCCACCCACTCACTCACCCACCCACTCAATCACACACCCACTCACTCAACCACTCACTCAATCACCCACCCACTCACCCACCCACTCAATCACACACCCACTCAATCACCCACCCACTCACTCACCCACCCACTCAATCACACACCCACCCACTCACCCATCCAGCCACTCATCTACCCACTCAAACACCCATCCACTCACTCACCCACTCACTCACCCATCCAGCCACTCACCCACCCATCCAGCCACTCAACCACCCACTCACTCACCCATCCAGCCACTCACCCACTCACCCACCCATTCTCCCACACACTCACTCAGCCACCCACCCACTCACTCACCCACCCACTCTCCCACCCACTCACTCACCCACTCACTCACACATTCCGGCCACTCACCCACTCACTCACCCACCCACTCAATCACACACCCACCCACTCACCCATCCAGCCACTCATCTACCCACTCAGCCACCCACCCACTCACTCACCCACCCACTCACTCACTCACTCACCCACCCACTCTCCCACCCACTCACCCACTCACTCACCCATCCAGCCACTCATCTATCCACTCAAACACCCATCCACTCACTCACCCACCCACTCAATCACGCACCCACTCATCCACCCACTCATCCATACAGCCACTCATCCACCCACTCAAACACCCATCCACTCACTCACCCACTCACTCACCCATCCAGCCACGCACTCACCCACTCACTCACCCATCCAGCCACTCATCCACCCACTCACCCACCCACTCACTCACCCATCCAGCACTCACCCACTCACTCACCCATCCAGCCACTCATCCACCCACTCACTCACCCACTCACTCACCATCCAGCCACTCATCCACCCACTCAACACCCATCCACTCACTCACCCACTCACTCACTCATCCAGCCACTCATCCACCCACTCAAACACCCACTCAAACACCCACCCACTCACTCACCCATCCACTCACTCACCCATCCACTCACTCACCCATGCAGCCACTCATCCACCCACTCACTCACCCACCCACTCACCCATCCAGCCACTCATCCACCCACTCAAACACCCATCCACTCACTCACCCACTCACTCACCCATCCAGCCACTCATCCACCCACTCACTCACCCACCCACTCACCCATCCAGCCACTCATCCACCCACTCAAACACCCATCCACTCACTCACCCACTCACTCACTCATCCAGCCACTCATCCACCCACTCAAACACCCACCCACTCACTCACCCATCCACTCACTCACCCATCCAGCCACTCATCCACCCACTCACTCACCCACCCACTCACCCATCCAGCCACTCATCCACC